ATATATATATATATATATATATATATATACATATATATATATACGAAATAAAGCAACATAGAAAGAAAAAGGTATTTATTGTATTTTCGTCCTTCTCTTTTCTTCTCCTCTTATCATTTGTTCTTGTCGTCTTCTCTATTTTTTTTCTTTTCTTTTCTTAAGAGTTAATACGAATCTTTGTGAGATCCTTATGTCGTCTATGCACAGGACAGAGAATAACCCACACAAGTGATAAGAGAGAAACACCAAGAAGACAGAACTGTGCCCACCAAATAACATCTCCAAAGAACTTTAAACGTAAAACGTATACATTCATTAAGGCATTAATAGATGTACGTGGACTATACTCACGAAATGAACGAGATACAAACTCCACAACGGCAAAACTTGTGAGAAGTGAAATAGAAACATTAAAAAGAAGTGAATTCATCGTTGTATCATGTGGCTTTAATGGATGAATTTGAAAAAAAACAAGTCGCATCCCAAGACGTACTTGTCCTTCAAATGTTATCCACATAAGATAAAAAGTTAATACCGCATAGGCAATAATACCAAAAAGTGCAAATACACCATCTAACTTGGTAAGGATTGTATTTAAAAATGGGCTTTGATCAAATTGATTATAAAGGAATATATGTAATACCCAAGCCACACTAAACCCAACGGATATAATCCCAAGTACCAATCGTCCATATACAATAAAAGGCGATCCACCAGCTTTTGTATACGCCCATATTAATTGATCCTGTTGAGCTTCTAATATATACGTTTCATTTCGTAAAATATTAATTTTATTTTGCATAGATCTTGAAATTGTTCCTCTTGTGGCCTTTTGCATTTCCAAAGCCATTTCCAATAAGGCATCTCCCTTCGCAGCGATGACGGCCATTTCCTGCGCAAAGCGAGAAGCCGAAATCGCCTTTGGACGTTTAATAAAACCTGAAATAAGATCAATGGGAAAAGAAACTAATCCCACTCCTCCATAGAAGAAAAAGGCAATCCAACCAAAGAAACATAATATCCCTACACAATAGGTAAAGAAACTAACTCCAATCTGTGCACGTGAGGCTATACTACTTCCATTATATAAAACAGACTCTACATTTACATTTAATTGTGGATACGCCTCATATGTTTGAAGAGGAACTTGCGCTACACCAATAGTAGCATAACAGGCTCCACACAAAATCGCAAAAATCCCAAATACCCCAAGTGTATAAAGTACACCTTGTATAATCTGTTTACCGGGTTTATTCTTATCCGGATCATATGCCTCGTAATAGAATAATACAAATGGAACCACCACCACTGCCATTATAGCTGCCATCCATAATACGATTTGCCACATTAATACAGTATTTAAGGTATTATGATATTTATTTTCTACAGTTGGATCCGTTGCGTTTGCGGCATCAAAAGGTAAAAGTAACACCACCGCTACGGACATGATCATTCCAATCACAACAACGACCTTTTCTAGATAGGCGGTTCCATCATCTTCCTCAGATTTAAAGTAAAAGAGAATATAAATACCAAGAGCTACACATAATAGGAATCCAACCACCATTATCAAAATAAGCCACCAATTGAGCATTTTTCTTTCTTTTATTGATGTTTTTTTTGTTCTTCTCTCTGTTCACTTTACTAGTAATACACTATCTTTTATTTTGTATATATGTATTAGTGGCACTACCACCACACTCTACTGGAAGTTATTCAATACTACACAGACACCTACTCAACACACACATGCATACCGCAATAAAGAAAAAGAAGAAAAAAAGAAAAGAAAAGAACGAAAAGGTATATATATATATAGACATTAGAAATGATAATTGAAACAGAGTAACGGTATAATTCACCAATCAAAAGAAGAAGAAAAACAAGTAAAGATAAACACACACACATACACACACACACATAAATACTCGGAGAGACACAGAGAGAAAGAAAGAAAAATAATAATAATAAAAGAAAGAAAGAACGTCCGAGACCTATAAATATATATATATACCCCAAAAAGTCAAAAAAGGCCACAGTCTCACAGACATTTTTTTAATTTCTTCTACTTCTTTTTTTTTCTCATTCTTCTTTTTCTTCTTTCCATCTAATCTTTCTTCATTTATTTTTCTTTTCTTTTTATTTTCTCACTGACGTTATCGATTCTCTCGTCTGTCCCAACACACGTGGAGAATACGGACACATATATATATATATGCCGTCAATTCATTCCACGTTCTCTCCCAATTTTTCTTTTCTTCTCTATCACCACCTCATTAAAGAAAAAAAAGAAAAATAAAAAGAGAGAGACACACACAGAAAGAGAAAGAGAGAGTGGAGTGCCTAACGTAAAATAACAAAAGAAAAATAAACAAAGGATCTCCTATGAAACAGTTGTTGCTACACGTCCCTACCTAATATAATCGAGATGCCTACAAACAGCCTCATCTACTCACACATATAGTCACAGAGAAAGAGAAAGAGAGAGAAAGAAAAAAAAAAAGAAAAGGAAAAAAAATAGAGTAGAAAAAAGAAAAAAAAAAACCCACTTCATATGTTTTTTTTAATTATTTTATTTTTTTTTTCCTCAATTCTCCTCTCGCTTTCCAATATTGGCGCATATAAATATAAATATAGGCTTGTACTCTGTGGTGCAGGCTCCTTCTTGCCTACAGCCACATTCCATCATCCTTCCCTTCTCTACTATACCTTCTTCTTCTGCAGTAGAGGACATTAAGGTTCATATATTCTTTTCTTTATTTCCCTCTTTTTTTTTCATTGCTACTAAACTCATCAATTTTTTTTTTTTTTTTATATACTTTTCTCCTTTAACATTTCATTTCTTTCTCTCTCTCTCTCTCTTTCTCTCTTTTTCTTTTTCCCTTTTATTTTCCCTCTCTTCCGAGGGTTTTTTTCGTTTTTTTTTTTTTTTTTTCACTCATTTCCTTTTCTTTCTTTCTTTTTTTTTTTTCCTTCCTCTTTCTCAATTCCCCACTCCCCTCCCTTTCTTTGCCCTCTTTCATATGTTTTCCTTTACAGACAGACTACTTTTTCTCTACTGGCTTGCCTGAGCAGCGCGGGCACGGCGTTGCTTCTCGAGCTCCGCGGCCTCCTCCGCCATCTTCTTTGCCTTCTCGAGCACAGATGTGATGCCGCCAACCATGTAGAAGGCCATTTCCGGCACCTGATCGTAGTTACCCATCAGCAGACCAGAGAAGGAGTCAATGGTGTCCTCCAGCTGCACGTAGTGGCCCGTCATACCTGTGAAGACCTCCGCAACCTGGAAGGGTTGGGAGAGGAACTTGGTCACCTTACGGGCACGATCCACGATAAGTTTATCCTCCTCGTTAAGTTCATCAATACCGAGCACGGCAATAATATCCTGCAGCTCCTTATACTTGGTGAGCATCTGAACCACATCCTGGGCCACGTTGTAGTGATCCACACTGATGACATCGGGATCCATAATACGCGAGGCACACTCCAGTGGGTTCACGGCAGGGTAAATACCAGACTCGGCCACCGCACGATCCAACACAGTGGTGGCATCCAAGTGAGAGAAGGTGGTGGCAGGCGCAGGATCGGTGATATCATCCGCAGGAACATACACCGCCTGCACAGATGTAATGGAACCCTTTGTGGTGGATGTAATACGTTCCTGCAATTGACCAAGATCTTCAGCAAGTGTGGGTTGGTAACCAACAGCGGCGGGAATACGACCAAGCAAGGCAGACACCTCAGAGTTGGCTTGTGTGAAACGGAAGATGTTATCGATAAAGAGCAGCACATCTTGTCCCTCCACATCACGGAAGTACTCTGCCATTGTTAAGGCAGATTGCGCAACACGAGCACGAGCACCTGGGGGCTCATTCATCTGTCCATACACCAACACACACTTGGAATCACCCTGGAGATCAATAACCTTTGACTGCATCATTTCCAAGTACAAATCTGTTCCCTCACGAGTACGCTCACCAACACCTGCAAAGACAGAGAAACCACCATGACCCTTGGCAACGTTGTTAATCAGTTCCATGATAATAACAGTCTTACCCACACCAGCACCACCAAAGAGACCAATCTTTCCTCCCTTGCAATAAGGCAAAATAAGATCAATAACTTTAATACCGGTTGTAAGAATAGCATCTTCTGCTGCCTGATCGGCAAGCTTAGGTGCCACGGCGTGAATAGGCATGCGGTGCTTCTCACCAACAGGACCACGTTGATCAATAGCATCACCAAGAACGTTAAAGATACGTCCAAGTGTTTCGCGTCCTACGGGCACAGAAATATTACCACCCGTTGACACTACCTTTGTCTTGAGCTTAAGCAGATCTGTTGTCTGCATCGCAATGCAGCGGCCGGTGTGTGCGTCCAGATGCTGCACAATCTCCAGTGTGAGGGGCTCATCACGGCCAAGACTGTCGACAACGTCAAGGGCCGTCAACACAGGCGGCACACCCTCGGCGAAGTGCACATCGACGACAGCACCAATGACTTGAGAGACGTAACCCACACGGCCCTTGTGCTCAGCAACAGTGGCTGTAGGAGCCGCAGCGGCAGAGGCAGCACGTGTGCTCATAGAGCAACGCAGAACAGCACTTCGAAGACGAGTCAACATCACTTTGCTTTTTATTTGGTTCTTTGTGTTGTTGTTGTTTTTTTAGAAAAAAATCCTTTTTTTTTTTTTCCTTTACTCCCTACGACTAAATATAGTTTAAACCTTTTTGTTACTTGGAAAAATAGAGCAAAAGAATAATAATAATAAAAAAGAATTCAAGAATACAAGAGAACTACATGGAAATAAAAGTGAGGAGTTTTCTTTGTTTTTTCCCCCTCACATCACATTTTCTGCTACACGCAGAAAAACAAATAAATAAAGAAAAGTATTAAAAAAGAACAAAACAAATAATGAAGTCCTCCTTTTTTTTTTTTTTCGCACCATGGCCTTCCGCACGTAAACAGAGAAAACCAAAAAAAAAAGAGAAAGAAAGAAAGAGTGAGAGTGTGTAGGTGAAGTTTATTACTTCTTTTATCCATTTGGATTAAAAATAATTTCCCCCCACTCTTCACACACTTCTCTCTCTCTCTCTCAATTCTCTCTAATGGTCTTTCTCTATTTCCTTTGCCCCTTCACACCTTACGCACGGGTGTAGACACGCATCTTGCTGCTGCAGGAGACAAGCACGATCTTCTTTGCCCGGCAGAGATGCTGAAGTCCCTTCGCGGCGAGGGAAACGGAGATCTTCAGGCGGTCGCTAATAATCGACGGCGTGATGACCTTGTACTTTGGCACTTCCGTCATCAACTTGTCCATGGTGTCCTTATCGAACATAACAGCGTTCTGCAGTGCCTCGCGAGTGCGGCCCTTGGACCACTTCTTTGCGGCCTTCTTGGCGCCCTTGTTCATATTCTCCATCTTGCCCTTCTTGGCCGTGGGCTTTGTGTCCTTTCCTCCCTTCTTTGGTGGCATCTTTACTTGCTGGGGGTGGTGTTGGGATGTAGGGAAGAGAGAGAAAACTCGCTACGAGGAATGGAGAAAAAAAATACTCCGGACTTTTTTTTTTTTTTTTTTTTTTTTTTTTGGGGGGGGGGGTAATAATAGTAAAGAAAAAGAAAAAGAAGAAAGAAAAAAAAAGAAAGAGTAAAAGATTATTTTAAATCATATAATAAAGAAATACTAATAATAACAATAACAAAGAGAATGATTTATACTACACAGATTAATCAAATATGGTATTATCTTTTTTTGTTGTTCTTGTTCTTGTTCTTAGTTGTGGATCAGCGTCAACAGCTGCTCTCAAATAGAACTGCATGTATGTATGTAAAATGTATATTTGTATGTTCCATGTATACTCGTTTATCTCTTTCTACTTTGTTTACACACAAACAGATGAAAAAAAGAGACCCATAATAGAAACATATACAGATTAAAAAACAAAAAAAAAACTTATACGTGCTGACAGACATACAAGCAGCAGAAGAGATGCTGTTGTACAATTTTTAAACGACTCACTATTCATTTCTTCTCTTCCTTTTTATAAATATATATATATATATATATTTTTTTTTCTTTTTTTTGTTTTTTTGTTTTCCTTCTCTTTCTTTTTTTTTCTTTTTTGTTTTGCTTATTTACTCTGCCGACCGCATTTGGCACTTTCTTAAACAAATGCACAGACACAGAAACGCCTATGCATACAATCCATCAGAGTCATATATATATATATATATATATATATAATGACCCACATATCTGTGTAATGTCCATGCAATTGTTAACATGATGACTCCAGTATTGAAGGGATATTCCCTTTTCTCTTTTCTCTTTTCTTCTCTCTTCTTAGTTACCAAAGCGTCGGACCTTCCAACACATTGGGAGGGCCTCCAGTGTTCCCTCAATATTGCGCAATAGCACCAAGACACGATCATCCCCCCGCAGCACAAAGGCGGCTTCCACTGTACAGCGCTGGACCATATGCCAGGCATTCTCCGTAACGTACAGCAATCCACGTGAGAAGATGGCGAGAAAACGAAATTGATCGTGTTTCTTTGTGATATCTGCAGAAGTATTATTATTAATATCATTATCATTATCATCATTGCATAGCGGTGGAAGACGGGCAATGAATTGCACATCGTGTGGAAGTGTACGTGGAAGTAGACATGGATTTGATGTTCCAAGTCCAGCCATAAATCGCTCATTACCCATAAGCGCTACAATAGTCTGTTCTCTTTCTTCTTCTTGTTTATTATTATTATTAGTATTATTATTATTCTCATCCTCATCATCATCCTTATTACGACGAATAAGCATCGGTACAGATGCTGCCATTCTCGTGGGTTCCCGCACCAATGTAAAGCTGTTGGGATCTATAGTACCATCTGGGGCAACATCACATGTGAGTCTCCCCCGCAGACCACATACAGTGATGGTACTATTACTTTCATCAAATAAGAGTCGAGTGGGGCGAATGTTGCTTACCGTTTCTCCATCATCTCTTAATTGCATAGCGGTAGATACAACAGGATATCCAGCCGCGAGTGTGATGTGAACAATACTGTCATCTAACAGTAAATAACAGCTTTCCAGTGGAGCAGTGTTCTCATTATCCTTCTCCTCTTCATTCTCATTCTCACTCTTCTTTGTGTTCTTGTTCTTTTTCTTTTTATTATTGTTATTGGTGGTGGTGGTGTTATTATTATTATTATTGTGTACAATGAAACAACAGTCCAATACCCCGTAGCCAATAGATATTCCTCCGAGGACTTCTTCAATGCGATGAAGCGCCAAGGCATCTTCAGCCCCATCTCTCCAGCAGACACGCAGTAGTGTGGCTCGAGCATCTGTAGTGAAGAGTATATAGTGTAGTTTGGCATCACACCACATTCCCTGCAGATGAAACTTGCCGTGAATTTTATGTGCAAAGAGTGGTGTCCAATGACGTAATGCCGCATCTGTGCGGAATGCCTCAATACGTCCACGACGAGTTTGTAAAAGAACATTCTTTGATTTGGCAAAGGCGAATTGTTGTGTAGTGACTGGTACATACATGGCTGGGGATTTAAATACAGATGCCAATGGGGCATACATAATCGTACCATCTCGTGAGGAGGAAAGAATTAATTGATGTTGTTGTAATATCACTAATTCACTGGCTTCATGATAATGTGTACGCCGTTTAACCTCCGCCGGGTACCATTCCCCATCCGCATTGCAACGGTAGGAACGTAGAGATTCATGCCAACCGGAAGCATACAATACATCTCCTTCTATTTCATTATTTTTTATAATTTTATTAGGATTACTGCTGCTTACGAGTGTACTGATGGGTCCTTTATGATGTGTGAAGGTATGTAAAATATGTCCATGCTGGGCATCAAAGAACACCACATCTCCCATGGATGTGCCTACAGCCACCACAGGTCCTCTCTTCTTTCCACTGTTGCTAATCGCACAGCATAGGGCCATTCCTTTTGGTAAACGACTGGTCCATAAGGTTTCATGATCACTGAGACCCATGGGTCGTCCATCCATCCCACTATTATTATCATTATCAGTATTATTCTCTTCCATCGCATCTCGCGGTAGTCGCCATGCCATTACATTTCCCGCATCATCAGTTCCTGCTGCAATTCCATACTGTACGGCACAACATACACTTAACGCACGATCCGCACCAGAAACCTTTGGAATAATACGGCGTAGCACCAATGTAGGCCGTTGAGTATTATTATTATTATTATTAGTATTATTAGTATTCTCTACCTGCAGTTGTTGCCATGCCCCATCGCCCATCGCGGCAAACAACATGGAGCCGGCAATGCAGAAATCCCACACAGCACCACCACTGCGTTGATGAACATACAATGGGGCGAGTGTTGTACCGCAGTAGATCACAAGTTGTCCAGAGAGATAAGAAGCCACCAACAGTGGACGTGTATTTGGTAAATACCGCAATCGGGTTACTGTACGATTGGCTTGTCCACCCGTGTGTCGAATTTGTGTAAAGTGTGGGACGTTTTGAAAGGTATCAATGGTGTATAATACCATAGATCCATTCTCGCGAACTATCACCATCTCTCGCTCATTCGGGTGAACCGCAACACAGCGAATACCAACAACATCAGGGGCAATCACCGCAGAACGCAGCACAACACCCTCCAAATCAGAAGGGAGTTTTTGTCGCTGCTGCTGCTGCTGTTCAGGCTTCTCGGCATTACCGGATGCCACTAATACTACTGATGCTGCAGCTCTTGTTGTTGTTGTTGTTGTTGTTGTTGTTATGGACTTTGTTGCTATTGGTACTTGTTGATCAATGCTGCTGCTGCTGGAGGGAGACGTGATGTGTGCGGCCTCCAACTCCTGTGAGGCCTCATCCTTCTTTGGGCTGCTTCTACAACGCTTCTTCGGCGGCATATATATATATAATGTGTGTTTCCTCAGCCTAGCCCTTGTAATGCTACAGAAGAGAAAAAAAAAAGAAAAAAAAAAAAGAAAAACATACATATATAAGAAAATATTAACAAGAATAAATAAAGAAAAAAAAAATCTCATGTCTTTCCATAGTTCTCACGTCATTTTCTTTCTTTCTCATTCTTAAGGGTCACACCACCACGGGACCGCTACTATTCATTTCCGTCTCGCTTTAGTCGTTCCATCAACTCACGGGAAAAAAGAGAAATATATGGATGTTTCTTTGTATTCCACAGTACTTCTTTTCTAACCCTATCATTATCATCATTACCAGCACTACTCACATCCTGTCGAGTACCATAAATCGCCGTAAACTCCTCTAATGCCGTTTGGTATGGCTTTAGTGAAAGCACAACAGTGTGCATGGTACCAACATCAGTACTGTTTTCTCCACTTACTGTAGTTGTAGATACAGGTCCATTAACATTACTATTACCACTATTATTATTTTCTTCCATTCCCAAACCATCTGGAATTACAACAGCAAGTTGTATACACCACGCTGAAGAGGAGGGAATTTTTTCACGTGTGCATTGTTGACGTACATGTCGCCGCAGTGTATCTACACCACGTTTCACTACTGTCCCTACACGACGTAATTCCATTTCCAGAGCATCCTCCGCTTCCGGATCTTCATTATTCCCAATCACCGCATATCGTGTAAAGTCTAATTGATGTTGTTGTAAAAAGGTAGCAGATGTCATGAGACGCAGTGCGGCATGACGTTGGGCAACACCTCTTATATACTCACCGCCCTTCTCTAATAAAACAACCGTCTCCATATCTGCAGTGGGTAAAAATAACCATGGACGTATACACAATTCTATCATTGTAGATGTACCACTAGAGTCTTCATTACTATTCTTCTCTTTCTTATCTTTTTGATCATTTTCCTGCTGTAGATATTGATGTAATGCCTCACACACTCGTGGGCTAGTCTCAAAAGCACGAAGAGCAGCATCAATTGTGGTAAATTTATTCATTTGATTTACATGATAGAGTAACTTTTGGCAAAATAAATCCCGTTCAAGAGGTGTTGGAGCTCCATTCTCAGGAAATGGGGCCCGTTGCCGTAATTGCGGGAGTCCCTCACTCTCATCATGTAAACTCCAATCCCATGGAGCTCCACCAGGAAAGGCAAACCTTATAAAATATGGTCCTTTATATGTTGAACAGGACTCTTTAACTCTTTTTACTATATTAGCTCGAACAGCAGTAGCAGTAGCTGCAATAGTATTACTACAAGCAGTAGAACCCGTATTTCCCACTAGAGATAATGCCTCCTCATGTGTTATGGAAACATATACAGAAAAGTCTAATTGCATTTCTGCTGGAACGAGAAGTTCTTCTGTTAAACGTGTACTACGCGTGACGTTACGAACCACTTCCATCTCTTCTCTTGTCATTTCTGCTTCTATTGCTCCAATTGCACTTGTTGTGGTTGCTGTGGTATTGTTTGCTGTTCCTCCTGTTCCTGTAATGACATCCATTCTAGGCCGTTTACGAACAGTATGTTGATAGGCCTTTAGATGTATACGATGACAGGAGGTTCCAAATAAACAGTCCTCATGTGCTTGTGTGTGTGGACACCAACGAGCCACGGCTCTTCCACGGTATACCAATTCTAATCCACGTGTGGGAACGAGATCAGACTTTTGTACAGTCGTGCCTTCTATTGTTATTGTTGGTGTATACACCGCCTCACATGGGGCTGGTCGTTCACGTTGAAGAATGCGTAGTTGCAGTGGTGGGTACTGTTGTGGTGGGTTTCCATTCTGTGGAGTGATGGTGGTTTTACAAGCGGCGAGGGCTTCTTGTTCAGATGCGTATAGTGCCAGTGCATATCCGCGGGTCTCGAGATGCATGACTATCATCACTCCAGAAGTATTCGCGGCTAATAGAGATCGCAGTCGTTCATACCGGGGATCACGATTAGCCCGTGCACGGCTGCTGATATTGCTGCTCACTTCCATTGGTTCCAGTAAGAAGTCAGGGATATTTGTGATAAAAACAAATGTACGTACTTGTGTCATCTTTTTTTTTTTTTTTTTTCTGTGTGTGTGTGTGGCTTCACTGTAATAAATAGATAATAATAATAATTACACCTCTCTTTAACGTCTGTGTGTGTGTTTTTTTTTTGTTGTTGTTGTTGTTTCGCTTCCCCTTCGTTTATTGTATCCCTCTTTAGTGTTAGCAAACAGCTGCTGCACACCTTTTCTTTTTTTTCCCCCCAAAAAAAGTCTAGCAGAGAGTGGAAAATGACAGAGCTCCGTAAAAAGGAAAAAAAGAAAAAGAAAAAAAAAAAACAGAAAAAAAAATATCATTAAAAGATAATAATAGTAGTAATAGTAGTAATAGGTATTTTCAGTTCCAGAAAAACTAATAGTTTGAAATAAAATAATAAATAATAAATAATAATAATAATAATAATAATAATAATAATAATAATAATAATAATAATAATAATAATAAATAGTAATAATAACAACAACAAGAAAAAATCAAAACCCACCTGTGTGCAAACATGTATAAGCCTGCATGCTCAGAGTAATAGTAGTTAGTTGCGGGGTAATTTATCAGTTTCATTTTCACTGATATTAGTACTATTACCACTATCACTATCACTACTACTATCACTATTACTATTACCACTTCCACTGCTAACACTGCGGGCAAATGAAACAAGTATGAGGTGAGAATCAACGCCTGCATGTGGTTTACTCGATATCTCACGATAGACCACAAGTACATGTTCTTGCACAACACCCTCTACATGAAAGAAATCCTCCAATGCAGATGCAATCACACTCACAACACGTGCAGCATCGCGATACTCCGCCGACACCGCCTCACTTGCTTTAATAGCCAATGTGAGGGATTCATCTAGTGGACGCATACCACGCATAATACACTCATAGAAAAAACCCACCGCATCATCCCAGCATTTTGTTATCACTAATACATGCATGATGGTATTTGCTAATACAGGACTACTGGTACTACTACTACTGCCGCGGTACTGACGAGCCACACAGAGTGCTGCCTGCCAAGCTCCACTATTTAATGCCGCCTTCACCGCATAATCAATCACACGTGGTGCGGCTACAGCTGTGGTGAGTACACTCTGTTTAAGAATACGCAGTGCGAGTACCCACTGTTGTCCACGTGCGCAGGCCTGCAAGGCTAATGCAGTAGTCATTGCATCTGGACGCATACGCTCTGAAAGATGTGCAAAGCAATAAAGTGAAGCCTCCCATGATGGTAAACATGCTCCTAGTACGATAGAACCTGCAGTATGTGGAAAACAACGGTTAGCAAGTGCATGTTCATATACTAACATTGCCTGTTCCCACTGTCCTCGTTGTTGAAGAACACGTAGAGTTCGTTCCACAGCTGCAGCAGAAGTTTTCACAATAGGGGATTTTGTTCGATGAAGTTTATCTTGTAATGCAATCTGTACAAGTGATAAAGAGAGAGGTGAGGGAGAATGAGTCGTTGCTCCTGCTATCGTTGTTAATGATGATGATGCTGATGATGATGGCATGACTCTCCCATCCTCTTGTCCTTCATTTCCTTGTGAATCAGTTTTCTCTTCTTTAGATTCCATATTTCCCAATATTCCTCCAATGAAACGTTGTAATTGAATTTGATGATGTAATGGAAGTGGTAAAGAGTGTATGGGAAAATACCGTAATGCCTGTTCCCAATACTCTGAGCATATCATACTATAACGTACAGTATGCGCAAAATGAGAGAGCTGAGATGGAACACGAACATGAAACAAAGAGGACCAACTACCAGATGATAAAGGGATATCATCATCCATAGTTTTTTCACCCTCTTTTTGTATTTTATTGACCGTAGTAATAAGACCTTCACTCCTTCTCTTGTTAGGATTACCACCATTCATACCACCTTCTGTCATGTATTGTAAAAAAGTTTCACACGCCTCTTTCCATGCCGCTCCTCTTGCACTTCTTGAGACCTCTGCAATCGCACGTGCCATGGCTGTCTGTGAAAGTAATCCTTTACAGAGAAGCGCCACATACAATTCCATCTTTTTGTTTGATCGTAACATCTCCGGTTGGTCATGCTGCAGAAACTGATGAAAAGCCAAACCAGCTGCCCAGCGACCACGCAAGAGACTCCCGCGCAGCATTTCCTCCGCTACACGATCACCACCCACCGCACGCAGTGCAACCCGAAATAACAATCGAAGTGCTCGCCCATTATGATCCACCTCATCCTCTCTAGTATTATTATTACTATTACTATTACTACTACTATTAGTTGTAGTAGTAGAGGAAGATGAAGAAGATAAATCCGTAGAGGGCACACGCGGGGTATACCACACACCGGCGCTTATCACCAAACGTGCCACATGTGGGGCGCAGGCCTGCCGCACACGTTCTCCGGATTCCACGTACGCCGTGAGTGCGCGTCGCCAGTCGTGTTCGGTGAGAATTGTCAACACCCGCATGTCTGCCGCGAGTGTTGGGGCCTCATGCAGCCATCGCGGTGGGAGTGTGCCGTTGACTTGCATGAGGCCCCGCAGTCCCTCCACATCCCCGCCGCCCTCCAACACGACGCGGCGCAATAAATGCCGCTGCACCCGCGAGCCCCACGGTGTGCACGGCAGCAACAGCAGACACTGTCGCCATGTGAGTTGGCGGCCCAGCGGACTGTGGACGATGCGGCCAACGGCGAAGGCGGAGAGTTGCGGGGCGAGTTGGACGAGCGGGTCGATCAGCGGGCGGCCGCCGGGGTCGAGGGCCCGCCGCCGCAGCGCCTGCGCGAGAGCCGCCACCGAGCGAGAGGGCCGCATCGCCAACCCACTATTACTATTATCATAATTATAATTATGTTTATGATTATAAGTATAATAACGGTTATCATAGTGTAGATCATCTGTGAGATTCGTATCGTGTGGAAGGGCGGCTAGTGCGGCTCGCCATGTACGTTCGAGAGCCCGACCGTACGGTGCCATTGTAAGAAGTGCCATAAGCTCATGAGAAACCAACGTGAGGAGAACAGCACTACGTCCAGGCCGTTTGGGGTTAAGATGATGTGTATGGTTGTTTAGATCCTTTTCCTCTTGGACGGGAAATATGGATTGTTGCATAGAAAGAAAAGCGTCTGTGATGGCAACAATGTGTGTTTCTGTTGCCGTTGTTGAACGACGGGTGGCGGGAGCAAAATAAACAGGAAGGGGTCCAAACGCATTCTTTTCATACTCATCCGTGTTATCATCATTGTTATTATTATTACTACTATTACTTTTAATAGAGTCTTCATTAGGGTTCTTTTGTTGATTTTCATCTTTTTTATCATTTTCTTCTTCATCTTCACATCTTATCATCACTGAGGATGAAGTTGCTTCTGCTGCACGATACTGTTCTTGCAAGAATCGTCGTGAGATGCAGGTAACAACATACAAATCCTCTAACTCCAATGTATGCGTTAAACCATTTCTTACAACCATATGAAAGCACATTAAACACAGCGTGGCACGAGCGCGGTGAGGGTGTGATGCTGCTAATCTCCACACATACGCTGGAGATAAAATACCCGCAACACCACCTCGACCAAGTGAAAGTCCAAAGGACTGTTTTAAAAGTGCAGCAAACTCTGCAGGGGAAAGAGTACGATTAGGTACAATTCCTAAATACAACAACAATCGCAAAAGTCGTGCAGGGAGTTCCAAAGAGTCCCCTTCAGATGATCCAACCACTGCTTTAAACGGTTTTGCATTCACAAAGGCAAGGGCCGTTACGATATTATCAACATTAAATGGATGATGAAGCGCTGCAAACGGTGATAACTCTTGAGTAGATGATGATGAGGATAATGATAATGAAGATGATAGATAAGTAGTTTCTAATACAGAACGACGGCGAACTGTCTCCTGCCACAATTCCATACACACACTCCACTGTCCATGTTGGGCGAGAATATATTGAAGAGTTTGCAGTACAGTTCGCGGTGACTCAACGAGTGTATATAATATTTCATGGGTTAGCACCGTGCTGCTTCTCATATCTTTATTCTTCTTATTATCATTATCATCATTCTTCTCCTTATTCTTTTTAATCAATGAGTCATTCCAAGAACGAACTCGAATCAGTAAACTTAATGCTCGTTCCCAATGTTCTCTCTGACTACAGAGGAGGGCATGTTGAGCATCCTCATGTATTTGAAGATTAGACCATCTACTAACATTAGAAATACTCTTTTCATCCCTAATGTTACTAACACCACTATCATTATCACCATCCACATCTCTACCACTATTACTATTATTATTACTACTACTACTTTTGTTGTTGCTAGTACTAATAGTGGTGTTAGTATTCTCTAAGGAGTCAACTGGTGTTGATAATGAAGATTCATCATTATGGGAAATATCTGTTGCCTTGGCATTTAAAATATTCAGTAACTCATCCATTACAATGTATGCCATATCACTCAATGCATATTCATCTGTTATGTTTTCCACCGCACCACGCCGAAGCCCACCGTCTACAAGAACAGTAAGAAATCGTGATACGAGTCGAACAATTGTACGAAAAGATTCCATCGTAAGTGAGTCATCCTTATGAAATCCACATAATGCGGTACGTACATGCCATGTACACCAACGCAATAATGCAACTGTTTCTAATGACGTGAGTGGAGCTCCATCACTTTCTTCTTCATCTTCATCCTCTTCTATGGTTGCCGTCCTTGTTGTTGGATCTCCTTCATTTATCCACCGTAGTGTACATCTGGTATTTGAATCAGACTGTTCTTTTTCTTTTTCTTCTTCAAGTGTTAATTCAGTATCGGTTGAATGTGAACGACCAAAGGTTAAAGCCACAAGGGCTGCCATATGATCATTAGATAAAAGCAATACAGTCTCTGTATAGTTTAAGACAAGTGTCGCTCGACGAATACCATTCATTGGTGAAAGATCTGCATATCCATTCGGCAATGGAACTGTTGGATCACTACAAGTTCCTGTAGATGCGATAAACTCCGATACAATACGAAGAACTCGGCATAATTCCTCTCCTTTACGATTATGATTGCCAATATTTTTTCTTCCACTGTATACTTCTGCAGTTAAAGCTGCTGCTGTTAATGATGATGATGATGAATCTTCAGAAAGTAATGCGTGCGTAGAGGAACAATCCATTGAAGTTTCTCTCATCACTGAAGCAAAGCGTTGCCAATCACGCAACAGTACACCTTTTCGCGTTGTGCTTAAACCATCAAGTCGGCGAAAACGGTCTTGCAATTCCTCCAGGAGATGATAAGAAGAGGAAGAGGAAGAAGAAGAAGATAAGCTAATAAGACTTTTCAAAGCATTCTTCTTATCATTGTTACTATTAATAATAATATTACCACCTCTTCTTTTGTTGTTGCTGCAAAGACGCCGGACCGCATTTCGCATGCGATATAATCAAACTGAATGTCACTTCTCCCCGTCCCCCTTTTTCTCCCACCTCAACACACCAAGGTGTAGGGATGAGAAGCTAACGAAAAGAAAAAGGGGATAATAATAATAATTTAAAATAAACAATAAGAAAAAAAAAAGGGGGCAAAGAGGGAAGACATAATGAAGTTTACATTTACAAGAAACAGAAGAAATTCTGTACAGCTCATTTCATTCTGCTTTCTTTCTCTATTTTTTCTTTCTTTTTTTTTTTCTCTCTCTCTCACATACACTATATCTTCGTCTATTCATCTCACTCCATCTCGGTTGAAAAGAGAGAGAGAGAGAGAAAGGTCAACTCTACCTCTGTAGATATATGCAATCAAAAAAAGAATGCAAAAAAAAAAGAAAAAAGGAATGCACTGTGAAGGGAGAGACTCTTTCCCACCTTTTTTTTTTTTCTCTGTTGTTTGTTTGTTTCGTTTTTTTGTTTTTGTTTTGTTTTTTTCTCGCTATGACATATTCCCACCCTCTTCACAACGGCAGCCACATCCATAAACAGGACACTTGCAATGAGTCTCAAACCATCTCTGCAAGTGATCCGCATGGCCACCGTGAAGACATGCGGTACACCACGCAAAACTCTCTCGTGCACAAAGTTGTCTAGTGTATACAAGCTCTGAACAGACTGTACAACGACGTTCATCTGTTGCCACTAATAAATGTAATAATGGGTTTAACTCTGGTTCAGTATGTTTTTCTTCTTCATCATCTTCTTCTCCTCTCTGGGAAAGGGTAGGATACTCTTCCTTCTCCTGTATTTGTTGTTGTTGTTGTTGTTGGAGTGTGGGTGAGGTAAAAGGGATTGTATGGGTTCCATGTAATTGCTGACATGCTAAATCAAACATTGTACGCTTAACAAACTCCTGTTCATTATCAAGGAATCTACGGTAGGCATCCGCCCACAATTTCCAAGAATAAGAAGCCATATATGGGTAATTTCTTATATTACTATTGGAATTGGTATTCCCCTCTACATCATAAACACCAAATGTAGGATAGATTCCTTTTGAGGATACCACTTTTGAATCCAAAAATGTATTTGGGTTTACAATAGGATGTGTTTGTGGTACAATCCGAACAAAGAGACATGCAGCTAATTGAAAATCCCCCGTACAATCTACAATTGTTTGCATAAGTGGACATGTTGACTCATTAATACCTTCTAGTAGTAGTTGTTGTACCATATTACATTCCCGTCGGAAAGTATTTCGAAGTAGAGAAACCAACGTTGGTGTATCGTATTCAAGAAGAACAGCAATAGCCAGACGATCCCAAAAGGGAAGAGCCGTATTTGTATATATATTCATACGATTATCTTCACAGAGAAAGGCGACACGAAGCCATGGACTCAGTGGTCGTATGAAATTCTCTCGTACTTCTACTGTACAATCCCGTAAAGCGGAAGAACTCCCATCGTGTTGAGAGAGAAATCCCGCCATCACAAGATAAATAGGATTTAATTGTTGATAATGCTGTAGAAGTGCCACTGCACGTGATCGTCTATTGTAGAGTACTTCCACAGCTACTGCCCGCTCTATCATATCACAGTTCATCTCACTTCCACCACCACTACTACTACTACGTGGAATAGACTCTTGTGAGGGGAGCCAATCTAAGAGATGAAGTAATAAAAGTCGTCGAGAGTCATTCCGTGAGGTTGAGGAGCGACAGACAACTGCGGAATTGTGTGGTAATAATTTGAGATCCACTAACTGTGCTGCACTTGGGGCATTTTCAAGAGAGAGAAGATCCACTATACTCGGTACAGGACCACTGCTATTCACTAAACCCACCTTCTCCATAATGAAAATGTATGTAAATAATACTTGCAGATCGGCCTCTGAGGGATCATTCAACATTTGCAGCGCCTGTACGTTTGTGGCTGCAGGAACTCCAAAACCGGCTGCCAGTCGTCGCTTCATTCGTCTTTCCATATCCATCGTATCATCCGATAATGTAGTAGTAGTATTATTATTACTAGTAATAGAAGTAGTATTATTATTATTAGTAGTAGTAGTGGTAGGAACGAGAAAGACGGATGAACAGAAACCGAGTGCAAAACACCCTGGACGTAAAGTAGTAACTGTTGCATCGGCATCTACCGGTATGGAGGCAACTTCACCCGCGCAGTTAACACCAACAATACGTGAAAAAGGTCCCGCACCCAAACTAACAGCATCACGGTCAGTAGCATTACATGCATGAACCCCATTTTCCATCACCTCTACCTTCGCAGCATTAGCACTAGTACTAGAAATACTACTAGTAGAATGTGCATGAGTCCCATTTTTACACGTATGACGCCCTTTATTACAAAGGGAGGTAGAAAGTAACATACGTTCTGCTAAAACATTCTCTCGTGTTACTACGATATTGCCACCACGCCGTCCAGATGAAACCGAAATAGAGTTACGGGTATTACTACTATTAGTAGTAGTAACAGTAGTAGTAGTAATAGTAGTAGTATTTTTTTTGTTGTCATGACTATTTTTTCTGGTAACATTATTAGTAGAAGATGATGATGATGATGATAATGGTACCAAATCCGGTAGTGTATGTGTAGCAGCAGAAATAAACTCTACATTCACCAGTGAGTGTAATGGTAGAAGTAATTCACGTTCGCGAGTATATGTATATAAGGAATGTGGAGCTGGAATTCCCACACCACCACCACCACCACCTGCTGTTCCCACCGCTCCAACAGATACTGTAGATGCAGGAGTTGAAAACAATGCGGGTGATATGGGATCTACTCCAGCTGTTGTGATCAATGTTGAAGTGCAAATGGCTTCTCGTGGTGTTGTTTCCATTTCTTCTTCTGTTATCTTTGCGAGATGCAGTACATGTACAATACCCTCCTTCACATTACAAATCGCAATCTGTAGATCAAAACTAAACTTCCATGAACAACTATAATAGGCCCCATGACGTGGAGTTGCCTCTAATATACGTCGCTCTGCTGCTGGGCGAAGTACATTACTTTCTGTACATTCCAATACATGCAAGACACATGCATCTGGTGTGATATCGGCAATAGCGGAACGGCCAAAGGAGAGACAACCCACAAATGGTAAGAATGGATGGCAGGCGAGAAAGCCACACCCCACACGCGGTAAACACCAGAGAGGAGATTCCGGTTGTTCCGTTGAGAAGATATACACAGCACGCTCAGCACCAGCTACCACATATCCATTCGCTGGGAACCAATCACTTGTTAAGAAAGCCCCTGTTTCAGGAAAATTACATACGAGATGAAGACGAACACGAATACCATCACCATCTCCATTTTCATATATTTTCTGTGCAGCATCATATCGATGAAACCCGCTGTGTAAACAAATAGTACGGGGAAATGCATGACTATCTGTAAGAGTTGTTACTAAGTTTTCAGATAGAATAGGTATGGCGCCACTATTTGTTCTCTCTGATGGGTTTTTCGTACTGGATGGAATATTTTCTGTTGTCGGGGCTGATGTCCCTTTAGCTGCAAGTTCCTCCTGTTTAGCTGCACTAATAGTAACATGATACCACTCCACACGACCTGAGTTAAATCCAACAAACACAATTGGTTTATCACGCATCCAAGTTACTGTTCCAACACTACGGTCCATCTCAGTAGATTGCCTTTGGGAGGCAGAAGGAAGTGAACCACCACTTCCCACTGTAGATGCGAGTGGGTTAAACAGTGGGGAGGAAGGTTGGACATTCACCTTCAACCCCACACCAGGCATCGCATAACTATTATTATTATTATTATTATTATTATTATTATTATTATTATTATTATTATTATTATTATTATTAGTGGTAGTAGTAGTTGTTGTTGTTGTGCTATTAGTAGTAGTGGTAGTAGTATTTGTAGTAGTAAAAGAACGAACAGTAGTGGCGTCGTTAGAGAGATTCCGCAGTGAGGCAGGGCTCCTATTAGGAGCATATAATACGGCATGTGTAGACATCACCAACACTGCCATCACACCGCTGCTGGATCCCACAAAAGCCAAATCACATCCATACAATGATCGATTTGCCATACTAAAGCACTCTGGGGCTCTGCCAGAGTCATGCGGTAGAGTTACCACACTTTGAACTTTCATCTCTGTAAAACACTCCTTATCACACGTGGTATGATGTTTATTATCCACTGTACTCTTCTGTTTGGCACATTCTACGGTAAAATAAATGAGGGTGTGTCCTAACAGTAATCCAAACCCATTATGACTGTCTGGTTGGCAGGAGAAGTACTTCATTCGATACTTCCAACCACAACAGTTCACGTCTTTCTTCAATAAATCTATATTATATATATATATATATATATATATATATATACCTTCTTCTCCTTGTTGTGCACTATCGCTTACGCCTTTTTTTTTTTTTTTTAGATTAGAATTATCATGACAATGAGAAATAAGAAAAGAAAATAAACTCATACAAATTATGAAACCAAAACAAGAAATAAAAAAGAAGGAAATGTACACGAAAAGTCCAAGAAGTGCCGTTTCACATACGACACATCTAAACAACGAAAAAAGAAAAAAAAAAAAAGAAATGATGAAAGAAAATAATAATAATAATAATAATAATAATAATAATAATAATAATAATAAAGAAGCAAATGATAAAAATAAATAAAATAAAGCAAAGAAACAAACAAACAAAGAAAAAAAAAAAAAAACACACACACACAGAGTGTCCTTGTTATGGACTTTTCCTCAATGTCGGCAGTACTGGATGTTGCGGAAAGGAAGAGTGACAACAGTGGCATGGACAGTCTTCTGCAGGACAGGCACTATGCTTTGCAAACCAATCACGTAGATGCGATAAGTGTCCCCCATGCAAACACACCGTACACCAAGTAAAGCACATATCAAGAGCATAATCACAGGCATGTGTAAACATTTGTTCTCCACACACTGTACACATGGGAGTGTAACAGGCACGACAAACTTCAGGCACTTGTGGACTGCATCCTATCATCACAGGATCAGAAAGTGTAGTTGTTCCTGTTGCTGCTGCTGCTGCCGTTGTTAATATGGTGGTTGTTGCTGTTGTTGTTGTTGTTCCTTGTTTGGGTGGACCTGTTAAAACGGGTTTTCCACATTTGCATCTAAGCTCCAGACTTCTTTTTCCCGATCGTTTTTGTTTTACTTTCGCCTCCGCCACGACGGCTGGTGCTCCCCCGGCGAGTCCACCCAATGGACTCACAAATGGACCAACAGGGCGTCTATCAAAGGCATCACATCCAGCAAGTGTTGACTGTAATGAAGTAGCAGCAGCACCACTGTTGTTACTGTTGTTATTGTTATTATTGTTGTTACTATTGCTGCTATTATTATTATTGATGATGTTTCCATATCCCATTGAATATATACTCTGATCCGTACGTAGTTCTCGTATTTTAATACAGCTAAGATCATGTTGACTACGGAGAATGGCATGTCCTTCCGCATTCAGTTGAGTACGATAGGCATCATTCCAACATACCCACGCCGTACAGTTTGGTGATCCATAGAGGGCTACATAAACCACAGGTGTCTGAACATCACCGGTTTCATCTACATATCTCTGCAGAGAAGTGCAATTGCGGTCCAATCCCTCTACGGCTGCTGCTAAAAGGAGTGAACAACCACCTAAACTAACTGGAGAGAATTGTTCTTGGGTCATCTCATGTAATACCTCAATAAGAGCGAGATGGGCATCCTCCTCATCCTCATTGTTTAGATTTGGTGGTAAAAGCATTAAGGTCGCAAACGCTATTCGGTCCGATAGTGGGAGATAAGGAAAGCGTTGTGTAAAGAATGCAAGATATTCACGACGCTTCTGAAGTGGAAGTTTATATATCCAACTACAACAGTTGCTATTATCACTGTTGTTACTATTGCTGTTATTATTATTATTATTATCATTATTATTATTATCATTATTATTTGCATTGTCAGTGAATTCCACTTCATCTCTATCATGAGATGCCAAAGAAACAGAAACAGCCGCAACAGAGGCAGCAGCAGTAGAAGTAGTAGTAGAAGAAGGAGTGATGTTATTTTGCATCTCTACCGCAAAGGTCAGACAGAGACTCATCCAAAAACTACAGCTAGAGGTCATATGTGAAGTAGAATTAGAAGCCGCCAAAGCCCCAATAAGAATATTACGGCTATTATTATCTTGTATAGCTGCCGCAGAGAGGGCCACAGCCACACTTGGGTAAAGTGGATGGAAGTTACTATAATGTGAAAGTAACGTCGCTGCCTCTTTTAACCGGCCCATACAAACAAGAATAGCCACTCGTCTTTCCACCGCCTCATTAGATGAAGCCATAGCAATACAATCACATCGTTCAAGTGCTAGTGAAAGTGAAATAGGAATATCATATTGATAAGAAGGTGTTAATGGGAATGTCATATCCATATGATCATCTAAACTCCCGTGTGACCATGATTGTGGAGATGTCATTCTTTCCTTCTCACGACGTTGTTGTGTTGGTGATAAACAATTACGAGGAAACTTCACAGCATCATTTAAATCTCTACCTGGTATTGTTGTTGTTGTTGTTTTTGTTCTTGTTGTTGCGGATAACATCATATGTTCCTCCTGCTGATCTATCCACCATCCCATTGCCGCAAGAATAAGTTTACGACACTGCATTGATGATGATGATGATGTTTGTTGTTGAGAAACAGTTGCGTTATTATTATTACTATTCGTAGCCGTACTGCGGCCCATTCCCATTCGTTCCCGTTGTAGTAAATCCAACATTCCAGGAATAACCTCTGATGTTGGTAAGACTACCTTATCTGGGTAAAGGTGACGTCGAACATACCATCCATAGCGAAATAACATATATGCCTCACGATCTTTTCCTTCTCGTAATAAAACAGAGAGAACTTGATGTGAAGATGCCAAGAATCCTGCCTGAAGACGATCTAAACAGTATAATGTACGATCTACATTCATAATCGATAATACTCCTTCTTGTGTAGAAGAAGAAGATATAGTATGATTATATGTATTGGTAATGGAAGTACCCATTCCCATATTACTATTCTTTTTTCCTGGAATTTGTATAGAGTTAGAGCCAACACCTCTATTCCCACTCTGTTCTACTTCACTACTTCCATCAAAGACATCATGACCACTCATACTATCCATACTATTATTATTAGGACTCTTCACATCTGTATCCCCAGAAATTCTTTCTAATTTCTGCAAGTTGGTTTCTTGTTTATTATATTTGTAAAGGAATATGTCAGGTCCCAAACTACACAATGGTACATCATTAATTATCACCGCTGTGGCACCTCTGAGGGTAAAAACTTGTGAATATAATTCCCCTGTCTTTGAATTTAATAAAATAATAAAAGGGAGATCTGTACAACCTCCAACTTCTACACATCGTGAAACAGACATACTAGTTCCACCATCATTCTGTAGTTTTCCTCCATTAAAAACTCTTGGACTACGGTTTACTTTATCATTATTAAGAAATCGTGAGAAAGAGAGACTATCTGCTAACCAAGCCACACTCGCTGCTGGTACCCGTGTGTGTAGTCGACAACGTTCCTCTGATGGTTTTGTCACCCGTTTCTTTAGTGATAGTGATAGTGTGGTTGTATTTGTACTAGTGTTGGTAGTGGTAGTACCGGCGGATCGAATGGAGATCCCATCCTCATCCTCATCCTCATTTCCCTCTGAAGCTGCCCGTTCATTCATTTCATTTTCACTCTTCTCCTCTTCCACTTCTCTCTTATCTCCACGAGTGAGATCTGTAAAGACATGAACCCGCACTCCACCATTCCGTGTAGTTCCAATCACTGTATGTGGTCTTCGCGTACACCACGCCAGTGAAGTGTATCCGGCATGTGAGTGTACTCGACAAGAAACGGGTCTGGACGTCATGCGCAGATCCCACAACTGCACAACATCCCGTCGATTGTGACTTCCCACAGTAGCCACGTAATTCTGAGAATCATCACAGGCTAATAATTCCGCACAACATAATGTTGGGAGAGAGGCACTCACACCGGTGAGTTGATGCGGTGCGGCTACAGCGCCTGTTGGGGCACCAAGATAATGAATTCCACTCTCCGGTGAACGCATATCCATCACTTCTGCATAATATCCCACTCCATCCACTCGCTTGGCGGCCGTTACGGTTACTGGAGATCCGGCGACCCAATCTATTGCCGTTATTGTTCCCTGCAAAACCCGCTCTCGCTCTACATCTAAAACCATCGTGTTTCCATTCCACACCGCATGATTAGATGATAAGGAATACTCTCGTGATGATGATGAAGGGCCTAAATACGGTTGATTGGTATAACTATTATTATTATTATTATTATTATTATTATTATTATTACTATTATTATAGTAGTAGTTTCCCATCATATTAGAGGTGTGTTCGACGGTCGCCCCACTCAAGGAACAGGTGAGAGAACTTGTATAACTACAACTGCCCTTCTCTACATCCAACAACTGAACAACTCCATCACGGCGTCCCACTGCCAACACCGTTGCATTTTGTGGACTCCACGCCGAAGCCACTATTGTTGCATTGTAACTAGAGTGAGATTCCGTATTTCGCTGGGAACCACCATTGGAGAGTGGGTACAAGAGTGCGAAGGTTCCTTCTGTGCCAACATCGTGATGGGTGCCCATCCAAGCAGCCCCGGTACTATCAGAGAGAAAAAACCGCAAGGGTGAATCCCTACCACAACTCAGTGAGAGTGAAAGAGGCACACGCATCTGTGGTTTCCCTGTTGTTGCTGTTGTTGTTGTTGTGTCTGCTGTACGGAAGGCACCCACTCCACGTGATGATGTAGCAGCAGTACTCGTAGTAGTATTCATACTCGTACTAGTAGTAGTAGTAATAGTGGTATTATTATTATTATTATTTGTATTTGTAGTTGCTGTTGGATGAGGTATAGTAGTATTTGTATTATTTGTATTTGTACAAAGTAGTGGAATAGGAATAACAGATGATGGTTGAATAGGAAAACCCCAACGTCGTCTTGCTGCTATAATATTTATACCAGAAAAAGATGGAGTGGCACCATACAAAGAAGAAGATGTATGATCTATAGTAGAAGCATTCGTTAGGGAAGTTGGACAATGTAAATACGGCCTCGCGACTGGACTAGTTAAATCCATAGTTGAGAAGAGAGTCGATTGTTCTTCATGTTGTAAGAGTGCAGAGTTAGAGAGTCGGTAGATGTGAACATGTTCATGTGTGGCGGTTGCAAAGACCCCAGTCTCACCAGGCTGTTTACACAAAAGCATTATTTATCAATACTCACACTTTAACTAGATAGATATAAAAATAGATATATAGATAAAAAGAGAGAAGAAAAAAAAAAAAAAAAGAAAAGAATCCTTGCTGGGGAATAAAAGTTCTTCTTCTCACTCTTCTTCTTTTTCTTCTTATGGTTAGAGACTTCTATGTGGCTGTGCTATTCCTCCTGTAGAGGATCTCTCCTCCTCTCCTCCACTCATTACGAGAGAAAAAGTAAAAAAAAAAGAAAAGAAAAGAAAAAAGGGGGAAAAGAACAGTAAAAAAAGATCAACAAGTGAGGATGAAGTAATAATCGTTATTAGCAATAAGTGTAATAGAAACACTCAAAATGACTGAATGTAAAAAAAAAAGAGAAAAACAATAAAAGGAATTGATTTGACTATCAACTAAGGAGAAGAAACATCTGAACAGACAGACAAAGAGGCAAACACACACACAGAGAGAAAGAGACAAACTTTTTTTACTTCAGAGATTTTTATTTTATTTATTTTTTTTTTTCATTTATTTATTTTTTCGTTCCTTCTGACGTTCATTCCGCATCACTCACACTTCTTCCCTCCTCAGACTCCCAAACAAATATAAACACACAGAGGCTTACACACATGTATATATATATATATACTATCCTGTAAACACAATAAAAACATATAAAGAAAAGAAAAAAAAAGCAAAAAAAAAAACAGAAAGAAAAGCAAATAGAGACAAAGCACGAGTATTCATGTATTCTCCCCACTCCTGTTACCCCACACCACTACTTTTTCCTACTACCATCATCATCATCACTATCACTATCACCAGTAACAACAAGAACACACAACAAGAACAACAAAGGGGCCAATACAGGGAAAAACAAACAAACAAACGGATAAATAAACAGAGATTGAGATACACTGAAGAAGACGCATACATAGAAAAGAAAAGAAAAACAAAGAATATGAAGTAGATCTTTGAGAATATATATATATATATATATATATATATATTCCTTTTGATGGGGTCATTCTTCTTCTTCTTCTTCCTCTTCTATTTTCAGTTCCACTTTGTGGATAGTTTTCGTTTGTTAATTTGGTGGTGTCCTTCCATCCCATAATAAATCAAATCGAAAAATCCATACATGCATACATAGATACATACTCTCTTATAAGAGTACATATATGTGGATAAGTAAATGGATATCTACATACATACATACATACATACATACATACATACCGCACACATATACAGATTAGAGGTATGTTGTATCTATTCCAACGTTCACTTTACCCATTACCCTCATTCCCCTATTATATCTACTTTTTCTCCCCTTTTTATCCACTGTAATACCCATTTTCTTTCTCTTTTATTCTACTTTATTTTTTGTTTTCTTCTCTTGTTCTTCTCTCTTCTTTTTTTTTTCTTCATTTCATTTCATTTCATTTCCTCGTTCGTCTTCCACCCGTTCTCTTTTTCGTTGGCATCTCTTCACAGCGAGAAAAAACTCTTAACTTTTTCACTGGTCCACACTACAAGAAAGATATATTATATTCTTATCTACACAAAACACGTTTGTGTACTTCTTCAGTCTATCTATCTATGTATGTATGTACGTTTTGTGTGTTTCCCTGTAGCCACAGGAGACGTATAAATTATACTTCTCTGTTTTCTTCTGTTATTTTTTTTCTTCTCACATTGTATTGTTCATCTCAACCCCCCCAAAAGAAAAAAAAAAACACATGGGTATACACACATAGATACTCAAGATGAAAGAAAAACAAACTCAAAATAACAACAATGATAATAATAATAAAAACATGAACGAACTATATTTCGGAATGAGGACATGCACTGTAAAACAAGCAATGGATAAATAAATAATAAAAGAACATAACAACTTTGGGGGGACAATAGTGAAAATAATAAATAAATAATAAACAATAAATAATAATAAATCTACACATTTGTCCATCCGTCATTGTCCATAGATGATGACTCACTCTTGTGAGATGGATGATCACTCATCGACTCCACTCGCTGAGGTTCTTCTTCTGGCAATACCTCTTTATCTGCCCCGTCCACTTCACTCTTTTGATTATTCTTATTATTATCATTATTACTGTTATTATTATTATTATCTGCCTTGTCTGTACTCTTCGCAGCCTCTCCTTCTTCTTTTTGTGGAGATCCTCCCTTGGCCGTCTCTGACGGTAGTTGTGAGTCCACAGCCTTCGTAGACTTCTTCTTTCCTTCTCCCTTATCAGGCGAGGAGGATGAGGATAACAACTGTGAAGAAGTTTGGGCCGCTGCCGCCTCCAATCGCTGTATATATTCCTCCGCAATTCCACATTCACGCGCGGCTGTCAATACAGCCGTTACTCGCCGCCGTGCGGTGCTGAGTTCCTCCTGCAATTCACTCACAAGAGACTCCAGTAAAGTAATTTTCTTTTCCTGTTCTCGCCACTCCGTCTCTGTTCGCCCGCTGTTATTTCCCTTCGCATCTCCTCTCAAACCACCAGCCCCACCACTGTTACGATTGCCTGCAGCGTCCATTCCATTATTATCATTATTATTATTATCATTATTATCATCCTCATCATCCCAACCCACCAATTCGTCTGTTGCCTCTATGAGTCGCTCGGCGAAACTCTTCTTTTTCTTTGCAGGTTCATCCTTAGATGAGTGACTTGCTGCAGTAGTGGGATTCGCTGCAGATAGTGCTTCTGCGGCGGCGGCTTGTTCTTCTTCCCGCTTTCGACGTTCACGGTTTGTGTGAAGACGCAGTTGAGAAAGACGGAAAAAGTAACGATCAAAGAACACATCTTCTGTAATGCGTTTCGATTCTGGAAGTGGTTCCGTGCCTTTCATTGGACTCTTCACACTGCTGCTGCTGTTAGTGCTGTTGTTATTATTATCATTATCATTATTATTATTATTACTGCTGCTGCTGGCTTCACCTGATACTTTACTTGCTTCTTCCTGTTCTCCGGTTTCACTTCTCTGTTTCCGCAGTGATGGGCCGCCCTGCTGGACAAAGGCCATAAACTTCTCACACACCACCGGGTTCTCATCCAGCAATCGCTGTCGATATACAATCGCCGTCTCATCACTACTACTCGCAGACTTCTCTGTGGAATCCTGTTGATGTATGTTGGCGGAGCTGTACACACTGCGGCGTGCCCACTCTTCAAATAATTTCTTCTCCTCTTCATCCCGCAGCTCGGCGAGATACACCGCATCATCCCGCTGGAGTTTATGAATAGCGGCCTCATCGAGTGGACACTCCTGTGCGAGGAGGGAGTCCTCATCACCGGCAAAGTAAATATTGCCGCCATTCTCTCCACCAGCGACTTCTGCGGCCAGTCGAGTGACCATGTTGGCAAGACTCTTTGTGTCCTCCACCAGACTGTTGGTGAAGTCTCCAAGGTCTTTGGTAATGTTTTCAAACCACATTATCTTTCCCTCTTTTGTTTTCTTTCTTATTTTTCTTCTTTTTTCCTTTTCTTCTTTTTCTTCGTTGATTTTCTGTTTTTGTAGGCAAAGGAATGTATGTACACTAGTGCACCTTGTCGTTGTTTTGTTGCTGTGTTTTCTATCGGGTTTTGCAGATTGACTGCTTTTTCTTCTTTAATTCCATTTTTTTTTTTAGATTAAAAAAAAAAAAGAAAAAAGAAATCATTATATAAACCAGATAGTAGAATAATGTGATGAAAGCAAGGCGTAATAATAACATACTAACATTAAAGCAATGACAGAAAAGTATACACAAAGTAAGCTGATGAACTGAAATTATCAGCAATAGGATCTCTCTCTCTCTCTCCTCTCGTTGATTCTTTTTTTTTTATCGTTTCTTTGCTTTTGTTTTCTCTCTCTCTTTCTTTTCCAATTGCAGTCACTCAGTAGGCATCTACTTTATTGTTTCTACCTATATATATATATATATATATATATATATATATATATACCTTCTCCAATTAATATATTTTCCTGTACTTCCCCCATACTTGTACAGAAGAGTCCATATACACTCTCTGTGTTAATATATATATTTTATTATGCTTTAACACCCACTCACTCATACACTCAACTCCTCACATTCTGCAATTACGAGAGATATGTATATGTGGTTCCCCCACTTCTCTCCAGAAACCCACGTTCAATGAGACGTTCCACCACTTTCTTCATCACAGGCATCGCAACAGTGAAGCGTACAAGTGTTGGAATCGTTGTAAAGAGATCCTCATGACTCACACGGTGATTCTCTTTCATAAAACGTACAATAGCGGCTTCAATCACATGTGAACGATCAGCCATTACGGCATCAGCACTGCGTCTGGGACCATTATCTAATCCATCTGCTCCTGTTCCTGTATCCCCACCGCGTTGTCTCAATCCATAGAGAGGAATACGACAACGCATATTACTCATAGAGAAATCCTCATTAAACTGCAATCGATCCTCTGCAGCGAGTGGAGGAACAATTGATGTGTTCTCCTGTGAAGAGTTTGTATTAGCGGATTCACGCAAGACAAGACGAAACTTTGGATGACACAATCCAAGCAGAGAACTCACCACATCTGGAAGAGAAATATCCAAAGCAAGTCGTTCACATAATACCCCTACCGTTACCGAAGATGTTTGACCTTGTCCTCCTCTTTCTATTAATTCCTGTAAGGCAAGTAAGATAGCAGCTTGTAAAAGTGTACCTGTTAATTGTCTACGAACTTTACCAAGTGCACACTTTACCACTGCAGAGGAGAGTTGATGTTGCCATATGAGTCGACGATCAGAGAAGCAATGGCGATAGAAGTTCTGTACATCTCTGGTAAGAGCACGAAGGGGTTGAGGTAATTTAATTTCTAATGGAGTTTGTTTTGGCCAGTGATTATCTGTGAGAATGTGTAATTTCACATCTACACTAGCGAGAGCCGTGGTAAGAATAGCAGCAGACTCTTCATCATCTCTTTCCTCATTCTCATCATTTTCTTCTTTTTCTTTTTCTTCTTCTTCTTCTGTATTATCATTCCTTCTCTTTCTCTTCCTATCCATTTGTTGTTGTTGTTTCGCCTTTTCATTTTCTACTTCTGCTGCTTCTTCTTCTTCATTATCAATTTCCATCCGTGGTGGCCACGGCTGCGGTTCCCCTGCAATTCTTTCCGTTGCCCACGATTGGTAACGTTCATTCAACACCAGTGATGTCTTCACATCATTAATCATTCCCTCAAACTTAGATGTATCGGCACCGCATGTTTCTTTTAGACATTGAATGAAACTCTCTTCAATATCAATGCGAGGTGTACGTTGATAGTGAAGTAGACGCCGTGCAAGATCTACCCAGTAAAAAGATTCAAATATTTCTTTAGATGGAAATAAAGAATAAATACGCCCAATGTATTTTAAACGAGTATCATAACTACCAGTATCCCCCACAGAAGAGACTCCTGCAGATGAAGAAGAAACGGTTTGTGTAGGCAATTGAGAAGTTAATGTAGAATGTGTATTCGCATTCCCAGTAAGATGAGAAGAAGAAGAAGTTGTAATAACATGTGAACTCTTCTCCTCATCATTATTGTTGTTTGCAGACGGTACATTTTCACATTCTCGAATAGTCCAATCTAAATATCGTGCGAGTTGTTCTGCAAATTCTGTTTGATTTTCTTGTAATGCCTCTGCCAATGCATCTCGCAGTTGTACAGAAAAAAACACCGAGTCCTCTGCAAATCCCTTTTCAATCACACACTCTCCACGGCACATAAGAGCAATCATAGACTTCACAGCATTATACTCTTCTCCCTCTACTCGACGTATTGTTGTTGTTGATGTTGATGTGAGTTGCCGCATAATTGCAGCACCTTCTCTTAACATATATTGTCGAAATACCGCCCCACACTGTTTTCCAAGCCGTACATATTTCCCCATCGCGAGTAGTTTCCATGCAAGTGAAAAACATGTGTAGTTGGATGTCTGCACAAGTTGGGCAAAATCCCGTTCAAGGAAACCCACACCGTGTTCCACAAGCAATGAAGTCTGTGCGGCTTCCTCTAATCGTGGAAGAGAGGCCTCCGCAATACAACCCGCCTGTACACGTTCTCGTTCCTCCGCTAAATAACGTTCCACCTGCGGGTAAAAGACAGTGGCGGTAATATTCTCTTCCCACATGTGATGAACAACAGAAGTGTAGAATTGAGAAGCCACATTTATAATCTCTGGTTCTAAACGTAAAAAGTAAACTTGAATACAGAGACAGAGATTTGTGAAGAGACACATTTCACGGCGAGTCTCACTTGTATGTACAAAGTCTTGACGTAAATACTCCAAATATCCCACTTGAGCTCGTTGTAATAACCATGGATGTTGTAATATCGCCTCTTTCAGAAGTTCAATTGCAAGTCCTTCAATAGAACGAACAGCACGTGCTCTGTGAATATACCAACGATCAAGAAATACCCAAACTTCCTGTAATTCTAATACAGTGAGACGATAATGACCCCAGGCATGAGCAAGATGTAAAAAGGTAATTAATTCCCTCTTTACATCCGTAGAATCATCACTAGTACTAACGGAAATAGAATCAGAAGCAGAAGCCACTATTTGTATAATATGATCTACATATCTTTTAAGGCATTCTTGAAGTTTATCAAAAAGATCGGACGCTTTACCTAATTCCACAAGTGTTCGTACACTCCTACAAGTGGCATCCGCCGAGTACCCATGATTTTGAATATAAACTGGTGGGGAATGTAATGAACTTGAAGACGATGATGATGATGTCATTCTTTTTGAAGAAGAAGATATAAATGAAATCAACGGCATTAATAATGAGAAGGATTCATCAAATGGTGGTGTAGTAATAGCAGTGACAGCCTCTGTACGTGCAGCAGCTCGTGTGAGTACGACATCCAACATATGAACAGCCGTTCTCCATGCTTCTTCTCTTACTCGGTTGCATGCCTGTTGATGTCGTGCGGGATCATGATCGAGTAGATGAACTGTTACTGGTGGCTTTGCGTGAACGAGTTCTTCACTGCTGTTCACAATAGTTGGCTGCCAATCGTAGAGGGTGCGGGTGGCCATTTTACTTATTTACAAGTAAGTATGGATTAATACAGAGAATAGGTTACCTTGATTACTATGGGATGTTGTTGTTTTTTTTTTTTTTTATCAGCTGGTAACGATCTCGAACAGCTCTATCTGTATATATATATATATATATATATATATATATGCTCGAAAGAATGAAAAAAGAAAAAAAAGAAAAGAAAAGAAACTTCTATGCCAGTAATTAATAAGAAAGAGCATGAAATAAATTATTTCACAAAAAAGAAAACAAAAAAACATGAAACAATGAAGAAGTGTACTAGATACCCAGTATAGAGCAATAATAAAAATAAGAGGAAAAAGAATATATATATATATATATATTCAATGATTTCCACATATAGGGGGACACGCGAAAACACCCCACTTTTTTTTTTTCTTTCACTCGTTCACGACAACCCTTCCTCTCCCTTCTCTCTTCTCTCCATATATATATATATATAGACTCCTGATTCTCTTCTTCACTCATTCTGAAAGCAGTTGCTAGGAAAACAAAAAAAAAAAAAAACGTGTCTGCAAAAGAGGAGGAAATACTGAAAGAAAGAAAGAAAGGGCCCAAGAAAGGGTGATATGCCTCAACTTGGACGAATGTACACACACACACAGACAAAAAAAAAAAAAAGCAACTACAAAAAAAAAAGGGGGCAAAGCTAAAGAAGGGATTTAATATCAAATTGGAAAAATATAAAAGAAACGGGATGAAGGGAAAAAAAAAGAAAATAAAGGACATTCTCTTCTTTACTTCCTGGTGATCACTTCTTTTTTCCAAAAAATAAAAAGAAGAGTACATTATCCTCATTTCGCCCTTTTCGTTTGCCATCCTTTTTTCTTTTTTGTGTGATCTTATCATAATTGTCCTCTTCTTGTTGCTCTTGTCTTTTTTTTTTTGTTTAGTACACCTCTTTTCGTTCTTTCTCTCTCCCTTTATCTATCTATCTACATTCCCCTCACACCCATCCTTCTTTTCTTTTTTCTTTTCTTTTCTTTTTCCCCCACTTCTTTTACCAAAAACCACCTTGTTTGTGATTTCTCATGCTTCTAGATAACTACGAAGTATCATCTCATACGATTGTGCATCTTCCTCTGGTCGTTCCTTACGCATAGCGCCAATAATCACTGGCATATCATCCTCCACAGAAAAGATACTATCTGCGAGGAAAAGCAAAACATGAAAGTCTGCGAGTTTCTCCAACATTGTGGCATTCCGTCTCTTTGGGTCTTCCATGTAATTCCGCAGGTTTGCCATTGTGGGAGGTTCCATTCCTGGACGTGATATCCGCATGAAGAGATTGCGCACCACTGGGGACTCAAATTGCTGAACGGCGACGTAACTAGTGAACCAACGCGTGTCGATCTCTTGACTTGGCGCCCGCGTCACAACGCGCATGTGCCCCTTTTCGTCCGTCTCCTGCTGCGCCACCTCCAGTGGAATGCTGCTGTACACATACTTCCCATCCGCCGGATCATCACTGCTGTTACTATTACTATTATTATTAGTATTACTATTATTATTAGTATTATTACTATTATTATTATTGGGATTGCTCTCGCTGAGTACACCAAGGCGGTAGAAGTGGACGGCCTGCGGGGATGTCTGCCAGGCCTGACATTCAATGCGGCCCGTGTCTATATTTGGACTCATCGTCAGTAACACACACTCATCTCCAAACCGTGATTGCTCCCGTGTACACAAGAGCATTTCCCGTGCACTTAACACCATATCTTCCACATTCCGTGCGGGATGTGTACAAACAGCACCCACTCGGCGAAGTCCCAACAACTGCGCCACTCGATCCACACGGTGAATGCGTGGATCTTTTTCAAAATGAAACGCCCGTGCATCTCCATGCTGTTCAGGTTCATAAATAGCATGTACCTCCACAGTAGCGAGAGCCTCATCATACGTACCGTAGAGAATCCCATAACGCTGCAGAGTCCAATCCAATTGCCGAACAAAACTTTGAAATAAATTTAATGCCACCGCATCGGCTCGAACGAGTTGTGTACGACTCGCCACCCAACGTACACGTGAGCGGTCAATGGCAGCCATTAACGCAGATGACTCCACCACATTAGATCGTATCATCTCTCCTCCAACAATGGTATGTCGTTCACGTTCATGAAAGACGCCGGTCTCTGGACACACCGGCTTTAAATACGGCGGTTCACCGCAGTCCGGGCACGGCTTTACATGCGGCTTCTCCGCAGCGCTTAGTTTCTTGTAGCGCTCAGCCCATTCACGACGCAGACTCTGTAGTGAAACCTCCTTCGACATGGATACAGATAAATATATATATATATAACTATATATATTTAATAAGAATGTGAGTTTGTAAGAATAAGTAGTAGTAGAGAGAGAGAGAGGGTTCCAGTTTTGCTTTGTTTTGTGTTTTCTTTTTTTCTTTTTTTCTTCTGTGTAAGAGACCAGACTGTTTCTCAGTCTATTCGTCTATCTTTTGTTCTTTGCCTTTCGGTACTATTTATATTTTTGATCACTGTGGATTTAAAAAAGAGTGAGAAGCGGGGGAAAAAAAAAGAAAAAGAAAGGAGTAAATCTATTTTTTTTTTTCTTTTGAAAGAGTGAAAGCAATTGGTCAATAAAGATACACTTCATCACATCTGCAGAAGAAAAGAAATGAAGAGTAAAATAATCACCGAATCAACACCAGCAGTAGTTAACCGTTGTGAGATAAAAACGAGCACCGAAAAGAGAAAAATAGAGGGAGAGAAAGAGAGCGAAAAAAGAAAAAAAGAAAAAAAAAACGAAACAGAGAGGTAACGGCCACCTCTTTCTCTCTCTGTGTCTCCGTTTCTCTTTCTTTCTTTCTTTCTTTTAATATGTTTCTTTTCTCACACATCGCCTCATTATAATTCATCCTTCTCTTTTTTTTTTGTTCGTTTTCTCTTCAAAATCTCAGATAGTGTTCCCCGCGTTGCTCAAAAGGCTCCGTACGGCCAAGCAATCGAAGAATGGTGCGGTACGCCTCTGTCATTACCAACATACGTGTTTTGAATGCCTCTCGTGGACGTTTTCTTTTCGCACGTGCGGTCTCTTGTTGTTTATTATTATTATGTTGTTTCTGAACAGAGAGCTGTTTCTGATGATTAGATTGTCCAAACTCAGTTCCACTCTTTCCCTCCACCTGTACTTTAATTAAGAAATCATCATCATCATCATCATCATTATCGATATCATCATTATCATCATCATCATCCATATCGCCCTTTCGTCTTCCCAATGTCCATTGTAAAATACGCTGTGGGATCAATACTCTTTCCTTCTCTCGTACATGAGATTGTAAATCACGCATATTACGAAAACCAAAGATACCCACACCTGTTCCAGAACCTTTTAACTCTATACCATCTTTTGTTTTCTCTGTTCCCTTTTTATTTCCTGTTGTTTCCTTATCAAGATGATCATTCGATCGTGCTAGACGTAGTTCCTCTCGTCTTTTATATTCCGCCTCCACTCGTTGCATCATGAAACGTACTTTATGTTCAATCCAATAAATATGATAAGTTGGTGGCCACGCCTCACAGACTTCATCTTCTAAAAGTAATTGTTCACAGAGATGCCGCATGGAACTCGTGGACTGTTGATCTTCTGTACAGGCAATCACCACATCATCTGTGAGGGATGGGGCAAAGAAAGGTTCCAACTCTTCTGGAGCAACAGTATAACGTGCAATGAAAAGAGCTAATGCACGTATAGTTCGACGTGGATGTCGTGCAAAGTGTAGAATGGCCTCACGATGGGTAAGTCCAAGATGATAAAATAAACCCATAGACATTAGAAAAGGACTGGCATTCCCTTCTTCATCTAACATACCAACATAGTGAACATGTTTTTCACAGTAGTGTAGTAAACTCTCTACACAGTGTTCATGCCGTTGGGATTCCCGTAAGAGTCCTACTCCATACTTTTGTTCTTGTTGTTCTTTTAATTGCCCATCAAATTCTTGAAGCCATTCTGGTGTAAGAGATTCTTGTAATGTTTTCCATAAATCTTCATCAAAATTCATGTGAGAACGTAGTAATTCTTTTTTTTGTAAAATCTCTAGTGGTTTGGTAATCGCATTTCTCCCAGAAGCTGTATATTTATTACGTAATCGCATAGAAAATGGTAAAGCTACAAAAGGATTTTTTAAACAAATAAGATACAACTCTGCCGCTGCCCGAGAATCTGTGATAAGTAGAATAAGACGTACGACTCCTTCATCATTATCCGCCTCTTCCACCTGTGAAGACTGCAGATTTAGAAAAAAGAGTTTATTTGGTGGAGGCAGTACAGAGGCACTGTTTATATTATTACTGCTGCTACTTAAATTAGGGTTGTCACCATAGGTTGCGTGAATCTTACAACGTACAGGAGACGTTAGAAGATTGTACAGTTCCGTCTGAAGTTTTAATAATACATCCGGTTGAAGAGGTTGGGGGTAATCTGCAGGTATTTCTAATATAAACTCTGGCCCACAGAAAAGATGCGGTTCGACCATTTTGATTCTATTTTTTTGTTTTTTTCTATTTTTTTTTTTTTTTTTCGTCCGCAATATATACAAATTCACACCCAGACACCTCTTTGAATCCGGGTCACCCCACCTCCTCCTCAGACAACTTAAGGAGAAGGAATATAAATAATGTATATATATGTGGAAAACCAAACAAAGAAAAGAAAAGAAAAAGAAGAGAACAAAACACATCATGAAGGAAAAAAAAAAAATGAATAAACCAACAAAATAATTTATCAAGAGAAAAAATATATATAGAGTCAAAGAATAAAAAACATATATATGGTCTTTATAGTGTAGCTAAAATTTTCACCGCCAACCGCTGTAGTCATTCCCCTCTGAAGTAAACAATGGAGCCGACACCAATACACAACGTCCAATTGCCGCCTGCAATTTTTCTCCCCGAAGATGTCCTTCGGAATCACAATTGTAAGTGAAAGGATTTGCAAGTAATTCCACAAGTCGTGGCAGTGTAAAAAAAGGCCATTGTTGGAGTTGAAGCTGTTCCACTATGTATGCATTCTCTTCAAGAAAAAGATCCATTTTGCTGGGTGTCTTTGCCGTTCCTGGTGCACTAACTTTCAATCCTCGATTATTCGCTGGTGTAGTAACATTATTATTACTATTTCTATTGTTACTATTGTCATTGTTGTTGTTGTTGTTGGTAGTGTTTTCAGCATTCTCCCCATATTTGGATGCAGCGAGCTCCAATACCTTTGTCACCATGCTCACAAGTAAAGGAAGTATAGACTTCTCCCAGAGAGAAACGTCACTGATATCACCTCCACACTGCTGATCTAACTGAGATTGCAGCATGGCCTTCTCACTTTCTGTGTATGGCAAACCCTCAGCAATTCCCACTATTGGAAATGCTGTTTTAACCTCACCCGTCACCTTGGATGGACTGCTTTTCGTGCTATCAGCCATCTTTCTTTTTATTTCCAGAGTGTCTATCTATATATTTATATATCTATATAGATCCAAGGGAATAAAAAGAAAAAAAAAAGAAGAATCCCCTTACCCGGTCTAATATATGTTTTTCTTTTCCACCTTGGGTGGTTAATTATCTGGTTTATAATCTCTCTTGAAAAGGCAGGGTACACCCCCAAACCTCGTGTGAGAATGATATAGAGAATAAGAGAGAAGGAGAAACCCATAAACGAAAGAAAATAATCAGCAAAGAGAAAAAAAAAAGAATATGTCTACTTATTCCTTGGGTATCTGTGTTTAAGCAGACATGTACTTGTGTGTACAAAAATGGGAAAATGGGAATAGATGGAGTGCAAAAAAAAAAAAAAAA